TATGGGTCCCCTATTTAAGAGGATTTTTCTCTTTTATAATTAAGAACTCCATATGAGGGATAATTTGTCACGACCTGGCCCAGAGGTTCGAATTAACGAGACAGAAACAGACGATCATATGGTTTATACACTTTCTACCATTACACATAACGGTAAAAACTAACATTCCTCAAATACTAAAGAGCCACTAACAGCACTTATACATTTGAATATAACACATTTTACCTGCTTTCATTTATTCGCCGTCTTCTGTAGACGTATTCCTCTCTTTCAGTCATTTCTACTTATTAGGAGACTTACATTGAAAATTAAATTGACAATTTGAGTTTACATGATAAACTAAATGGATAATTACAATTTCATATACAACAGTTAAGCATATAAAAAAAAATGCATATTCCTTTGTCTTTCTTTCACAGTTAATATATGTATAATTTATATATATAGTTATATAACTTATTTTTTATTATGTTTCATTTATCTATTTTTCATTTAACATTTATTCATTTTACAGTTTAGTTAGTACAGGAGTGTCGTCTACATATACTAATAAAGGTAAAACCATTTCCATTTAACATTCACGGGTAAGTAGCTTCCCTAGCTAGTACCATACAGGGATGAACTCCTATAATTTACATGCATATACATTTTACCTTTCATTTTTATTGTTCCATTTCAGTCATATATTTGTCTTTATATGACTTTGGCTTTATATAATTTTAAATGAATATATGTATACATTTTCAAATTTGCTTTTTTTTCATGTATTTAAATCCACTTACACACATTTCACATACCATATATATATATATATATACACACACACACTAATATTACTTTATCACTTTAATGGCTAACTTTCATCATTATAAACATAATAACTTTTAATCATAACATCCAATTAATTAAACAAAATACTGTATTTAAGATTTAAAATAAAATAAAATAATGTAAATAATAGTAATTACCCACTTTATTCTCTTTCGCGTTCAAATCCTTCCAAATCTTCAATTATCTGAAATATACCTCCAATACTCGTCTCAGTATGAAAATCTTTCACGATTCAAAAAAAATATAAATTACTTCAATCATTTCTAAAGAGGACTTTTGGCTATTGATAAATATTACATAATATTGAATGACTTAATTTCTTCCACCATGTCAATTACACTTTCTACCTTTATCTTCTAACATAATATGCAATTAAATTATTCTCAATTAAATAATTACCTTAATAAATCCTTCCTTCTTCGAGATAAAACTTTCCTTCCTACATTGATTGAATTAAGGCATGCCGCTTGAATTCTTCCTAACAACAATAATATATTATTCTTTCAATTAGAGAAATAAAGTTTTATATAAATTTCAATAAACTAAATTGCTTACTCCTTTATCTGTCGTTATATATAGAAGGAACTCCAAAACCCTCAATTTCCTTCTCTTCCTCTTCCAAACTTTCTTCCTCTGTGCTCAATTTAGATACCAACCCTTCCTTACGTTTAAATCATGGAAGAAATTTCCAAATAAAATAAATGAACTTACTTTCTTTCTCCTTCTCCTTCCTCTCAGTTAGGTTTTCTCTCGTCCACTGAATTCAGTCTGTTTCATTCCATTGGATTGAGTGAAATGGATATATCTCTCACGAGGAGTCGCTCTTATTCCTTCCCTCACGTGATTTCCCACTCAATAGCGTGATTCGACTCCATCTGAAGAGTTCACGCACGCAGTGGCTCCACTCGGTTTGTCCGTCTGGATCTGTTATTTGCTAATTGCCCACCCATTGAATTAATAGGCCGATTCACTTGAATCTAGGGCTGCAAGCGAACCAAACGTTCGACGAGCTACTCGTTGTTTGGTTTGATTAAAGCTCGTTTGTGATCATTTAATTAACTAAACAAACAAACTTGAACAATATTTTAAATACTCGATTCTTAAATAAACAAACTTGAACACTAATGCATTCAGCTCATTTATGTTCGCGAACAACATCATTTGAAGTTCGTGAACAAGCTCGACATTAAGCTCGATAAAAGCTCGATTCGTGTTCGATTTTGAACTCGTGAATAAGCTCGATAAAAATAATTAATATTTGACTATAAAATTAATAAATATAAATAATCATTGCCTTTGTTACACAGACAATTGCTTTTATTATAAATATATTTATTCATAGATATGTTCATGAACGTGTTTGTTTGATAGTTAAAAAAAATTCGTTAAATATGTTCGCGAACAAGCTCGATAAGCACTAAGCGAACGAACATGAACTGAACATGAACCGAACATGAACACTCATAAATTTAAATGAACCAAATATGAACACAAACAATAAAGCTCGAACAAAAATGAACCAAACTTGAACAAACTTATATTAAATGAACACAAACATGAACACTCACATACTCGGCTCGGCTCGGTTCGTTTGCAGCCCTAGTTGAATCGGCCATGTCCGATTCTCACATAGTTGGTGGCCCAGCTTCTCTGGTGTACCATTTAACTTTGCTTGATAACTAACATCACCCACTAGGTGGAATGTTTGACAAGATAGGTTTCTACTCCAATTGTAGATCATCGAAACAATGTAGGATCCTTGAGTTGCAAATTTGCAATCAATCACAGAAGTTTCAAAAGGCTATAAATTTTTGGTATTTATTATCGAAGACATTGTTGATGTACGCATATAATCCACAACCTGACCAAGATAAACACAATGATGACAATGACTGATAAACAAGATTTCACAAAAGCCAATCTCAAAACATCTTGAAAATGTATTGGACATGAATCCCGATTCCTGAAAGAAAATTTGAGAAAACAGAAGAATTCTAGATATTAGTTTTAAGTTTATTTTATAAAGTCAAATCATATATATTTAAAAATGAACTAATACCAAAATTTTTAGGAATTCTAGCCTATAAGTATTAATCCCAATGTATTTTAAGATTTTACATGATCACGATCTCATAGGAATCAATTTCTTCAAGATTCCTATAAAAATTTTTTAGGGTTTAAATAAACCATTACTTTATCACCTGCTTTGAATCTGTATCTCTGATTCATATTTGTAATATACTTATAGTTTCCACAATTAAAAGCCTATTTTTTATAATTATTTTCAAGTAATTCATGTGTATGCTATACAAATAATTATATGAATTCATTAATTCAACAGTAAGTTTGATGAGATATATAAGTTTTCTAGTTTGATGTCAAATGACCATTTCAAATGGGCACATGCTTATAAATTTATTAATAGATGAATTGTATTCAAACTCAGTCATAAATAATATCAAACCTTAATAGATGCGTGATCTTTCATTATTCATCATATAATAGATCAACTAAAATTTATTAACCCTTTAAGTTTGTGGGAGACAAGATGTTGAAAATTTTAATCGATCACCCTTTTTTCACAAGATTTTTAAGAAATAACTTAAGAAATTTCACATCCCTATCAAACACAATATTTTTAGGTAAATCATGCAATTATGAACACATCATTAATGTTCAAATTGACTACAGAAAAGTGATTCACCACAACTAAGTAAAAATCATGTTTACAACATGTTTGCGGTAGTATTAACATAGAATATATAAAAACAACTTCTCAAAGCTTATGAGGAATAGGCAAAGAAGTGCATAACCCATTATTATTTCATGTTTCCTTTGCCGTTCGACAAGTTTTGCATTGTGAAAATATCTGTGCTGCATAGCTTTTTGAATTGGGCCATAAATCTATATCCTCAATTATAACTATAATATTATCTTGACCAAAATGAATTGCAACACCACCAATAGTGTTACTTCCCTTAAATGCGATAGGTGCAATAGTTTGAGATAAATTATATAAAAAAATTAACCTAGACAAGTATTATGAGAAGATGAATGGGCCTTCAACATTGCAGTTTTTAAAGTCATCTTTACGCTTCATGGTCATGCTGCAACAAACTCTTTAAATTCATGATTGCGTCATTGCCTGTCTTCTTTGCTTCCATCACCATTGTAGACTTAGGGCATCTCCAACCGAAAACTTCATTTTTCACGGCAAAGTAACGCAAAAACTCCAAAATGGCGCGGGATGCTCCAATCGAACGCCATTTTAGGTGTTTTTGAGAAGGTAACGATCGCTCTCCCTTTCGCGCGTTTTTCGGGTTGAGAGAAAAAATGGCGTGAGTGAACAGTGCGACGCCAATATTGGCGTCGCACTGTTCACCTGCGATTAAATGGCGAAAATTTTGGAGTTTGGTTGGAGCGAGGGAACGACTCCATACAGTCGTTTAGCGTTCGGTTGGAGATGCCCTTAGCAGCCAAACCACCAATTTGTTATTATAAATGTTGAGCTACAAATTTTTGAAATATGTGGCTCAAACAGATAAACACCAATTTTGCACATCACGAAGAAAACCCTCATGTTAGAGCCCATATCCTATCTAAAAGGCTTGCTTATTCCCAGGGTTTATTCTCTCAAGAAGTGAACTTTATTATCAAGCAATATTTAGTGAATTAGTCCACCAGCTTAATTAGCTTACTTGCCTACCAATTAACAGTCAACTGAATTAACTCATCTAACTAACAACATATAAGGACGAAACCACAATTAAAACTTCAAGGAAACGATCATGCAAAAATGTGAGCTAAAAATTAGTTCCTATCAAGGAGAACTATGATTGTAAGTTAGAGAACCAACTTTGATACAGAGCAAACATATTCCTTGAAAGTCAAACCATGCTTCACGAAGGAAGTTAAATCAACTAGAAGATAAAACCAGAAACAATCATTTTTAACACTTCAATTGCAAAACAACACTTCACTAAAATTTTAGGTCGAGCAGAAACCATACAGGACTAAAATAAACTGAACAGCTAAACCACGACAAGAACCAATAGCATCAGGAACAAAGGGATTCTTCTGAACCCTACAATCTAAACCACTGAAGATAAACCAAATTACGAAATGATATAATTAGACATAAACATAGGACTTGGTTAGGATATGAACACCTTCAGACGATGCTCTTGGTCTGTCTTGCAAGAGAGCTCCTCTACTATTCAGCCAGACAGGGTGAATGCGAAGCTTCGAAGAGGGGGCGGAGACAAGGGAAATTCGGAGCTCTCGGGGTGAAAAAATCATGGAAGGGAAGCAAGTCCTGAAAAACCGTAACGGATGGAGAGCCATCGAACCCACGATCGCTCTGCTCCGATGACTATCGACTTGGTGGGTAAAGGTTGGGGATAGCGAGTTCGTTTTAAGGAATTGCTATTTATAAATTTTAAAAATATTAATCGTAATGGGTTTAACTTTCTAAAGCCTCTAAAATTTTTATTATACTAATTTGATCAAAATTAATAAAAATAAAAAATAATTTATATTCAATTTTGACGGCTCATAAAAAATCTGATGATTGAATTGCTGGTTGGAAGTGATTTTTGTGCTTAAAGCACTTGGTTGAACCAATTAGTTTTTGTCGGGCGAAACTTTTTTCGCTCTGTTGGGGTTTGCTCGAGTCGCACCGCCTACTTCATCTCCTTCGCCTCCCACTGGAGGATCGATCCCTCCCTCTCCACTGCCTTTTTTCCGCCTCTCCCCACTGCTAATCACTCTTCCCCTTGCATGCAACCCGCTCCGCCGCAGCCTCCACCAACAAACCCTCTTCCATGGACTCGTGTTCTGGCTGATAACCATAGACCTAATAAGTTTACTATCTCAGATCTTCCGACGCCGGAGGAAATTATTCCTTTTCCACATGTTGACATGGTTGAAGATTCTCTGGAATGGAATCAAGCTTTGGTAGGTTACTCTCTTAGTAAGAGGCCATATTATGGCTCATTACTAGCTGCTGTTAACAAGGTATGGAAGATCAAAGGAAGTCTTAAAATGATCTCTCTCAGCGAAGGTTTATTTCTCTTTAAATTTTCTTCTGCTGAGGATTTTGATTATGTTTGGAATAAAGGGGCCTGGTTTTTACTGGGAAAACCTTTTATATTGCAAAAATGGTCTCCTCTCATTAGTCCAAAGAAGGAGGAGTTCACCTCTGTCCCGATTTGGTGTAAAATTCATGATCTCCCCTTATGTTGTTGGGCTCCTACTGGAATACCTAAAATAACTACCAAAATAGGCACTCCGGTGGCGGTGGAAGATCTTACTACTGCAAAATCGCGTTTAACGTATGCAAGGGTATGTGTGCAAGTGGATTCATCTGCTACATACTCGGATTTTGTACCTATCCTGGTAGAAGGAAAAAATTTCAATCTAAAAATTCAATATGAGTGGAAGCATATTCCTTGCGAATGCTGCTCTTCGTTGATTCACTCGACTTCTGATTGTCCCACTAACCCAAATTCCATAGCCCAGCCAGAAATTCTGTATAATCATCAGCGGGGGCGCAGCACAAGTCGCAAACCAAGGAAAGCACCAATAGTCCAAAAGGGGATTCTTCCTAGTTCTGGTGTGGCTATTGGTATTTATGGAACACCACAAGTTGAATCTCAGTTGGAAGCTCAAATCAAGCCCAAAATCCCCAATCTTAACTCCCCCAATGAAGAGCTGTCGTCCACTAAATCTTCTAAACCATCCCCACAACCTCCTCAATCTAAACCCAAATCCCCAACGGTGATGTCTACTAACAAATTTTTTGTGTTGCAAGACAACACAGAATTGGACATTGTTTCCAATCCCATAGATACGTCCCTCTCTGCTCAGAAAGTGGCAATGCCGTCACAACAGATGACTTCTGATCCCTCTCTATCTCTAGAAATTCCTACCATATCTAATACTTCATCTAAATCTCAAGGCCCTTTAGATAAGGGAGCTTCAAACCAAGTCAATACTAGAGGAAAAGGCTCCAAAAGGAGCAACAACTCTAAATCTTGATGATTTTTCCACCTTTTGCAGTGTGGAATATCAAAGGCTTTAACAGCCCTAATAAAGTTTCCCGTGTTAAAAAAATAGTAAAAGACCATATGCTTGACATGGTCTGTCTTTTGGAGAATAGAATCCTCCTACACAACTTAGATGACCCCGGGTTTTGCTCTCAGCATGTGATTTTTTCTAGAGAGCAAGGCTGTAACAATTTTCATCTAGCTAATCCGGGTAGAATCTGGATTAAGTGGAATTCTGACAAATTAAGTTTTGATCCCAATTTCTTCTCCAATCAAGTGATTTCTGGCAAGCTTGTTATTGCTTCACAACATACTGTTACCCTCACTATTGTCTATGCCTCTAACTCTCATGAGGAGAAAAATAGATTATGGGATGAGATTAAATGTCTTAACCCTTACAATCAACACCCGTGGATTGTAACAGGCGATTTTAATTGCTGCTGATTTACCTCAGAAAAAGCAGGTGGAAATTCGATTCCTGAAGCCAGATTGGGGCAATTCAATTCTATGATTTTTGATACAGGACTCTCAGACCTTACCTCTTCAGGTTTATTTTACACCTGGCATAACCAAAGATGTGATAGCCCTATTAGTATTAAGCTTGATAGAGCTTTAATCAATGAGAATTGGATTTCTTTTTTTCCCAACTCATCTTACAAAGTTCTTAATGCCTCTATCTCTGACCACTCACCACTTATCTTCTCTTCTGGTGAACATAGAAAAAATTCTCACCGGTTCATGTACAAGAACCACTGGATTCACTACAAGGATTTCTGGGACATTCTTATCGATGTTTTTGCAGCACCAATTGACGACAATCCCATCTGTAGCTTTTACACTAAACTCAGAACACTTAAACTAAAGATCAAGAACTATAATTGGAATTCCTCCAATAATATCATGTCTGCAATTGATTCTCTCTCTAAACAGCAAATGGACTTCCAAATGCTTATTGACATGGGTCCGCTTAATTTAGAGCATCACAATAACCTCAAAAGCATTAGTAGTAATCTCATTCAATACAATTCTATTTGGTCCACTTGGGCCATCCAAAGAGGTAAAGTCAAATAGTTGTTAAAGGGGGAGGAAGATCTTAATTTCCTTTTCTCTAGGATTCATAGGAGAAAAGTAGCAAACAATAGTGCCATTGAGAATGCTATTTTGGGCTCTCATAACGATTATGACTCCAAAATTCAAGAGCTTATTCAGCACTTCGAGGAGCTTCTTAATCATCCTAATTCTGACAATTCAGATATGAGTCATTTTCCGAAAGGCTCCTGCCTGTCCACACACATAGCTAATAGCCTGATCCTTCCTAACACTTTTGAAGAAGTTAGGAAAGCTGTTTTCTCTTGTCATTCGGACTCGGCTCCTGGACTAGACGGATTCATTTTTGATTTTTATAAGAAATGTTGGTCTGTCATTGGCACTCATGTCTTCAAAGCTTTCCAATCTTTCTTTGCTAAAAGATATTTGCCCAAAGGGGCTAAGGCCACTGCCCTTGTTCTTATTCCTAAAAAATCACATGCCAGTAACATTGGAGACTTCAGACCTATTACTTTTTGCAATGTTTTTTATAAAATCATAGCAAAAGTCCTTGCTAAACATATGAAATTAATTATGCCCCTTATTATACATAAAAGTCAAGTAACTTTTATTCCTAATCATCTGGCTACGAATAATCCCCTTTTGGTTGGGGAAATTATGAAGCTCTTCATAAATTCTAATAGAAGGAATTTTTTTTGTGCAAAATATGACATCAGGAAGGCATTTGACACTGTTTCTAGAGATTTTCTCATTGCTAGAATGCTTCAAAAGGGTTTTCCTATTATTTTCACTGATTGGGTTAAGGCCTGTATCTTCAACATCAATTACTCTATTTGTGTAAATGGAGCTCTAGAGGGTTTTTTCTTGTCTAATACTGGACTAAGGCAGGGCTGTCCACTCAATCCGCATCTTTTTTGCATTATAATGGACAGTTTCTCTTATTTACTTGATAATCAAACCACGGCTGAAGGCTTTAAAGGAATTTCTGTGAATGAGTTCCACCTCTCTCACTTACTCTATGTGGACGATCTTATTGTTTTTGGGGAAGCTAATGACTCTAATTGCATTAAGCTTAATAATGTTATGAAGTCTTTTACTTATAGTACTGGTCTTCAGCTTAATAGTCAAAAGAGCCAAGTTATGTTTTCCCCCCACACTGCTAATGTCACTAGGATTACCCATCATCTTAATGTCTCCAATATTACTTATAATTTTACTTAACTGGGCATCCCCATTTCAGTAGGGAGATTAAAAATTGTTGATTTTAGCCCATTACTTGACAAGATTATCAGTCTCCTTGCGGGATGGAAAGCCAACTCCCTCTCTTTAGCAGGTAGAATGCAATATATCAAGTATACTATTAGCAACACGGTGGCTTATTGGGTAAGAGCTTCTTATATCCCTAAAACTATTATTAAAAGCATCAATAAACTATGTGCTAGATTTCTGTTTTCTGGAGACATCAAAGACAATCATATTCACCTAATTTCTTGGGTGAACACTTGTAAACCTTACAGCAAAGGTGGTATTCGTATTCCTTATATCCCAGCTATGAGATTTGCCTTTAACTATGGCATAATTAGTAGAATGTACAACATGGGAAATCCTCTTTCTGAATTTCTGTTGGCAAGGTATATTTCTCCTTGGAAAAAATACACTTCCCAACCCTCAAAATTCTGGAAAAGTGTTAGAGAAACGGCTGCTATGGTGAGAAATAATTTTAGTTTTATTCCACAAAGTTCTAGAAAGGCTTCTATATTATGGGATCACTGGTGCTCTGGAGACAATTTAACTAATAAATTCCCTATTTCTATCTCACAAATTCTAGATATGGATAATTTTACTATTGGTAAGTGGATAAAAAATGGTATCTGGTGCATTCCAATGGCAATTAGTGAGGATATTAGGAAATTCATTTTGAACATCCCTATAGAATCGGGTCAGTTAAATTGTATTACATGGGATGACAAATCTAATGCAACTTATAAAGACTTCTATATGGAGTTTTTTATGAATGAAAACTCAGTGAACTGGTCTAATCTTATTTGGCACAAGAAGCACTCTCCGAAATACTCTATATATACTTGGATGGCCATTTTAGATAGGCTCAAAACTGCTGAAGTTCTTATCTATAGAGGAATTAATATAGTAAATCCTTCTTGTTACTTCTGTCATAATAACACTGAGACTATAAACCATATATTTTTTTTAATGTGAATACTCGTTCAAAGTCTTAGTGAGATTGATTCCCAAAATGCAAGATTTTCTCTTAAGGCCAAATGTCTCACAGGCTATTGATTTCATTGGAGGATTACCGGGGG